GGGTGAGCTGTCTGCTGTTTTGCTGAATGTGTCCCAACACTATCCAAGAAGGCATATGAACAATCCAGCCCTTTTCCACTGGGGAGTGGGATGCAGTCTTTCACAGCACTTGTGATTAGGAACCCACAAAATACTGCTTGAGATCATGCATAAAAATGGGGTTAGTTGTAATAGTTGAATGGCTCTGTTATAGTAACACAAAATGTAAGACTTATAAGGCATGTTTTGTCTTTGTGCTGCGACTAGTTATGAATATGCTAAAAAGTGACTTGTGATTTCAAAGAAGTCTCTCAATACAGCTCTCATCTCCGTTATTGTTGAATATCACAAGCATGGACTAAGTAGTTTTTAAGTAAGGGAAAGTTAACTGTTCGCACAGATGTACTTGATCAATTGCCTTATTAATAATTTATTTATTGTTTTCAGTGGGTAACCAAGTGTGCAACTGGGTTTCTTTTCCTTTGAATGGGGATTTAAAGGTCCACAGATGTGTGGAGATTCAGGTTAGCTGAACACCTTGGTTATATCCATTTATGGCTGTGCTAATTTAGTGTGAAATGAAGATCCAGCTACAGTTGCACAGTAAAATGAAGGAGAACGAACAACAGGGACAAATTCTAGGCAAAGAGAAGTTGACTTTATTCACTGACTTTGTTCGTTATATGTGGATGCATTGTTAAGTGAATTGCAAGATGTTGAATGTGAGCAAAAACAACACCACCTGAAAGTTAGTGTTTTGGAAAAGAAGACCGGCTGGATTTTGTGTAAACAGTATAGTACAAAGAAATGTATAGATGAATGAATTTCGAGGCTTTTATTATGTGACTACCTCATGAATTATTCAGAGGTGCTGTGTATGATATATGGGTGCATTATTAACATGACCTAAATACGCGAATAATATATTATTAGACTGAGCTCTGTGCGTGAGCGTCTTTTCGAGATCGTAGGCGTCTCTGTGTCGGCGCTGTTCTAGAAAATATTATAGTACTTGATGGCATTAATAGAGGAAGTGGTTTTTTATGATCGTTTTTTTAAACAGCACCTCAACTATATTTCTCTGTTGTTTTTGTTTTTTTTTTACATCTTCCTTCACCCGGAGGGCCCATGTGTTACACTCTTGTTCAACAGCGAGTGTAATGTGTGCGTTTGTGATGTCTGAGAGCAAAGCATTGACAGACTCCATCCTCTGGTTTCCTGTACGAATGCAAATGTCATATCTCGGAAGAGATTGCGGTTTTCTTCTCTTATTCTATCTCAATCGGTTTATCGCTGGGTCAGAGAGGAAGATATATATTGGTCACCTTGATCGAATGTGTGCATTAAAGAGAGAGCACAGAGAGAGACTGGCTGGGCTGTTGTTAATATTAAAAACGTCCACGGCTTTTTATTTGCAAGTTTAGAGACCGCTCTTGGTCTCTGTTGGACGGGCGCTTGGAAAGGTAGATATTGGTTATTAGCATTTAAGCGTAGACCAGCTCCGTCCGTTTCTATCATTAATGCACAGACATTGTCTACGATAATATACA